AAACTTTTTCAACTTCAACGTCGAAGGCATGAAAATCAAGATTCATCTGAAGTCCATTGAGGACTGTGGAAGATGTTGTTTGCGAGCACATTATCAGTGTCCGATGTGCTACTCCGATTCAGCTCGAGCTTCAAAGGAAACCCGCAAGACCATGAGCCCGGAACTCTTCGAAATGCTGATCCATTTCAAGACAAATTGGGAAAACCATGTGCAGGTTGAGAAGGACCAAGCCTTACTGGACAGATTGGATGTAGATACTCTCACTCGTCAAGCTGAATCAAGTTATGATAAATTGTTGTTTGACCAACGTATGCGCAATACTGACAGCGAGGTTTTCAAGAACTACAGGATGAATCATGGCTTGGCAAGGCAGCTAAGCGCGACGAAGGACCACGAGAATAATTTGCAGAGCTTTGTGCGCGAGCTATAGGATAATGTCGACGCATTTAAGCGTAAGCTAAAGGAGACTGGTGTTTCACGCCGACAGAGATTGGAGTAGCTTTACATTACTAAAAACAATTCAAATGCCCGACCAATATGCTTTCCCTCTTGTTCCAGTGCAAATATTTGCTGTTCAAGGGTCGGATGTGGCTCAACCGGTTTGTAGATTCATACTCGATAACGACACTCGCTGTTTTCGTGACTTTTACACCGGTACTGCACTCTCTTGAGCTTATCTTTCTTGCCGTGGTTATAGTGGTAGATGCGCGCGTAGGTACACGACTGCGCATTGCTATTGCAGCGCTTTTCTTGCTCTCATGAAAGGATACGAGATGAAACTTCTCTTTACCAGCAAATGCAGACATCGCGTTCTCTGTTCCTGGAGTTATTGTGGATCCGTGCTTGGGAAAGCTGGAATTACAGGTGGAACCACGTAAGTAAGAGAAGCCAGCAGCATTTCTGTAAACGATCCACTTGGAGGAGTATCGGCCAGGTAATGTGATAAACTCAGATCCTGCCACGATAGAACTGGCGGTGCTGAACTCGCTATTAGAAACGGGTTTAGATTTGGTCCCACCAGAGTCGGTGAAAGCTGTGTGAGTTCCGGTGCAGTCCAAGTCGTCATTGGGAAGTCATCCCCTCTGACGTAACCTGAACGCACCGGCACCATGGCCGGGTAGTTATAGCGTGAAGTAGGATCGCACACGTAGCTGGGGATTAACAAAAAGGTAGCGTAGCTGGAAGGCGCTGCTGGTATCCGGTTATGACGTAGTTGGCCGCCACGTAGCTGGGAACATGGG